CTCTGTATTGTCTAAATAAAACCAAACCCATTGCCATCAAGTCAATTCTGACTCATAGTGGCCCACAGGACAGAGTAGCCCTGCCCTGTTTCCAAGGTTATAATCTTTATGGAGGCAGAAGAGCAGCTGGTGAGTGTGTCTCATGTAGGGTTTTCCCTTGCTTGGATGTGTGTGTGTGTGCTCAGAAGATGGTTTCTTTAGGTATCTAGAAATCATTTGTTGTTCGTGAGATACTAGAAATTCCATGTGCACAGTTTGGACTTTTTAAGATTTATGTATGTATTTATTTATTTATTTTTATTTATCTATCTAGGCTTTCCATTCATTATTCATTGTTACACAATTTCCTGCCTGCCCACCCCATCTCCCCAGTTCCTTTTTCTCTTTAAAGAGTAAAAAAATCCCTTTCATTGTTATACAGTCCCACCTCCTAGTCCATGCCACTGTGCAGCTTTCATTCTGGATTCTTGTCATAACAATAATACCTAATCATATATCCCTCCTAAACAGGTCTCTCCATCATCTATTTCAATGCAGTACACATTAATTATCCCCTCTTAAGATTCCTCTCATCTGCGATGTCAGTCCCACTTTACAACAGTGGCACTATGCAGTATTTGTCCTTTTGTGACTGAGATACTTCACTCAACATAATGTCTTCCAGGGTCACCCATTTTGTATAATATTTCATGAGATCCTTATTTTTCAATGCAGCATAGTATTCCATTGTGTGAATATGCCACAGCTTCTCTATCCATTTGTTTGTTGATGGGCACTTGGGTTGTTTCCAACTCTTTGCTATTGTGAACAAAGCCAAAAAACATGGATGAGCATATATTGCTTGGGTGGCGGTTCTGGTTTCTTCCCAGTAGTGAAACTGTTGGGTCAAATGGTATTTCTATTTGCAACTTTTTGAAAGTGCCATACTTCCTTTCATGATGGTTGTTCCATTTTTACACTTCCTCCAACAGTGAATAAGGGTTCCAGTTTCTCCACAACTTCACCAGGATTTGTTGTTTGCCAGTTTTTGTTGGAGAACTCTTGATGTTAATATCTGTATGTCTTTCCTCTGATCCTAGTCAAATTCCCTAGAGAAGAGTCTTCTAGTCTCTTTTCTGGAAAGCATAAACCTGGTTGCCAGGGACCTTGAAACTGTCACTCAGGGTATAAACTTTTCTTTAGTTTCTGCTTTCAGTATAGCATTGTTGCCTTCACATGGGCCCAGAGCCCACAGAACACCCATTTCTTATCTCCAACAAAGAAATCTCCAGTATTCTGATGAGTGAGGAGTGAGTAGTTACACAGTGAGTAAAGTCAGTGAGAAGACCCAAAGGTATGAGAACCTTAAATTTTAACTGTAGTACCACCTTCACCCCAGATTTTTATGGTATTCCTAATTTAAAAGTAAATTAGGTTGCTGTAGGCTTTCATTGCTGCTAGCTTGGTGATCAATTCATCAATCAGTGACTACTTACATCTTTATTTTCCACCTTGTATTGAAAGTTTTCCTATTAATTCCCCTCTCTTTTAAAACTCTTGTGTCATTTTAGTAGTATTTAAAGAAGTTAAATGCTAACTCCATAAAGTTTAACTGAAAAGTCCACATTCATCTGTAAACCCTGTGCAAGCAGACGTGTATCGTCAAAGACCTTCTAAGGAGCTATTAAGGGGTATCTTCCAAAACATAAAATCTGACCATGGCACACTTCATAAATCACTTCAGAGGCTCCCAAATGTCTTAAAAATACAGTCCATATTACTCAGCTTGCAAGTCTTCCTGATCTACCTTGCCTTCCACACTCAACATTGTCCCATCAAACCACAACCACACCTCACTAACTCTAGTCAGAGTGACCCCTTGCTATTCCACAAATGACACCACTTACAGCATCATGGTCCTGTTTATGTTATTTCCTTTTTCTACTGCCACTAGAGAACTGCCAGATGTGCAGGCTGGATTTAGAAGAGGTCATGGTGCTAGGGATATTATAGCTAACGTCAGATGGATCTTGGCAGAAAGCAAAGAATACCAGAAGAATGTCTATCTGTGCTTCATTGACTATGCAAAGGCTTTTGGCTGTGTGGATCACAACAAGCTGTGGCTGACTCTGAGAAGAATGGGAATCCCAGAACATTTGATTGTGCTAATGCGAAACCTGTACTTGGACCAGGAGGAAGTCGTCAGAACAGAGCAGGGAGACACTGGATGGTTCAAAATCAAGAAAAGGGTCCATCAGGGATGTATTTTGTCTCCATACCTTTTCAATCTGTATGCAGAACAGATCATCCGAGATGCTGGGCTATAGGCTATACGAAGAGGAATGTGGAATCAGGATTGGTGGAAGAATCATCAACAACCTGCGTTATGCAGATGACAGAACCCTGCTCGCTGAAACTGAGGAGGACCTGAAGCGCTTGCTGCAGAGGGTCAAGGACTGCCTTCAATATGGATTGAGGTTCAATGTCAAGAAGACAAAGATTCTCACCACTGGGCAGCATTAGGATGGATGGTGAAGAGATTGAGATAGTTAACAGTTTCCGTTTGCTTGGCTCCACAGTCAACACTCTTGGTAACAGCAGTCAGGAAATCAGGAGACGAGTTGCATTGGGAAAGTCAGCTGTGAGGGACCTCTCAAGAGTACTGAAGTGCAACGATGTCAGGCTGGAGACTAAGGTGCGCCTGATCCAGGCTATAGTCTGCAATTACGTGCTATGCATCGGAGAGTTGGACAATGAATAGGGATGATAGAAAGAGAATTGATGCCTTTGAGTTGAAGTGCTGGAGAAGAGTGTTGAATATACCATGGACTGCTAGGAGGAAAAACAGGTTTGTCCTGGAGAGTGTGAAGCCAGAATGTTCCCTGGAGTCAAAGATTCTGAAGCTTCGTCTGACATACTTTGGGCATGTTGTAAGGAGGGACTGACTGGTCCTTGGAGAGGGACATCATGTTTGGGAGGGTGGAGGGACGGCGCAGGAGAGGAAGACCCTCAATGAGATGGATCGATTCTGTGAGTGGAGTGGTGGGAATGAATGTGTTTGAGACAGCGAGATTGGCACAGGATAGAATGGCATTTAGGGCTCTTGTACATAGGGTTGCTATGAGTCGCAAACGACTCGATGGCACATAACAACAACACAGCTACTTTTCCTCAACCCAGCTAGCCCACCTGGCAAACAGCACTTTCCACAAGAATCCTTTTTCTCAACAGAGTTATGAACTATTTCCCTGTGCTCCTAGCCATACACTCTGGGAATCTGTCTATCAAAGCATCTATCCCATTGCCACATGAGACTTTATCTCATTCAACTTTGTATCCTCAGAAGCCAGCACAAAATATGCAACCAGAAATGGAAGAGGAAGATGGCCGGAAAGAACCGACATTTGAAGATATAATGAACAATCTGTTTCAGTTGGGGTCATGGTCAGGAGACGAGCTAGAGAAAATAAAAGCATACTCACTAAGCCAAGCTTCCTCAGACCCCTGGCTATGGCAGAGCGGGATGGGTAGACACAGGAATGGTTGTCCAGTCCAGAGTAAACAGCCCAAAACTCCCTCCATCATCATCATCAATTATTTAAATCCAAATCCAAACCCTCTGTTCTCCAGTCAATTTGGACTCCCAGACCTCCATGTTTCTGAGGCTGAAGACTGTCCACTTTCTTCTCCCAAAACTGCTGGTGGATTCAAACAGTATGCCATTTGGTTAGCAATGCAATATACCACACTACTACCACAACTTTTTATGCAGGACCTAGCATGTTATTGTTGTTAAGTGCCATTGAATATGGCTCATTGATCCTGTGAGCAACAGAACTGAACCCTGTGTTTCCTTGTGCCATCTTCACAATTTCTGACACAGTTGAGCCATCTTCCTCTCCTTCGCACACCCTCCACCTTTCCAAGTATGATGTCCTTTTTCAAGGAATAGCCCCTCCTAACATGTTCAAAGTATGTGAGATGACACTTCACCATCCTTGTCTCTAAGAAGCACTCTGGCTACACCTTCTCCAAGACATATCCGTTTGTTCTTTTGGCAATCCATGGGATATTTAGTATTCTTCTCTAACACCACAGCTCAAAGGAATAAATTTTTCTTCTGTTATCCTTATTCACTTGTCCAGCTCTCAGATGCATAGCAAGACCGTGACACAATCTTAATAGTACCTAGGATGTTGTTGTTAGGTGTCACTGAGTCAAGTACAATCCAGAACAACAGATCTGAACCCTATTCTATCCTGTGCCATCCTCACACTCTCTTGACACACCCAAGCCCATTGCTGCAGTCATTGTGTCAACCCATCTGGTTGATGGTCTTCCTCTTTCACCGGCCCTCCACCTTTCCAAGCCTGCTGTACCTCTCCATGGAATAGCCTCTTCTAGCAACATGCTCAACGTATATGAGCATATGAAGCTTTATCATCTTTGTCTCAATGAAGCCCTCTGGCTCTATCTTCTCCAAAATGTATCTGTTTGTTCTTTTTGCAGTCCGTGTTATATCCAGCACTCTTCACCAACACTACAGTTCTGTCATCCTTATTCATTGTCCTGCAGTTGTCGTTGTGTACCACCGCGTCAGAACCGACCCATAGACCCATAGCCGACCCTCTGGCGGGTTTTCAGAGGCAGTTAATCGCAAGGCAGGAGACTGGCCATCTTTCTCCCAAGGATCAGCTGGTGGATTGGAACTGCGTACCTTCGGGATTGCAGCGCAGCTTGTTGCCATTACGCCACCTGAGCCAGCCTTCCTTGTCCTAGCATTGCCTTAATAAATTCTTGTAGAAGTTGTTAAATATAGAACACATAACAGTGGCAGACATGAATGGCTTCGGGATAAGGAGTATTTCAATACTGTCCTAAGCGTAACAACTTCACCCAACTACCGTCAGGGAGGGCGGGACAGAACCGATCAAGTGCGGGGCACCCTGGGAGTTGTGGTTCGTCTTGTGGACCAAGCATCCTGGGAACTGTAGTGTCAGGTAGAAAGCACTCTGCGCAGGCGCAAACCAATGGCTACGTTCGGGATCTAGCGTCGGTTTTAGCAGAGGAGAGTCTGTCTCCTGTGGAGGATTCTCTGGGCGATGATGGCTACCTACAGCCTGGCGAACGAGCGACTACGCGCCCTGGAAGACATCGAGCGGGAAATTGGCGGCATTCTTCAAAATGCAGGTTCGGGCTGTGGCGATGCGATATCAGGAAACGCGATTCTGAGCGGCGTTCACGGGCGCCGAGCAGAGACTAGCAGCTGGGCGGGGAGGGAACCTCAGCGTGGTGGCGACTTTTAATTTATTATTATTTGAAGGAGGCGGTGCAGAGGCTGGGCTTCACTTTCAATCTTCCGGTAGTCCGTACCTCTTTCCGCCCCGACAGGTAACGTGATCCTGGAACTGTCCAAGGAAAAAACCAATGAGCGGCTGCTGGACCGGCAGGCTGCCGCCTTCACGGCTTCGGTCCAACACGTGGAGGCGGAGCTGTCCGCCCAAATCCGTTACCTCACCCAGGTGAGTGTGTGACGGAGGTAGTTGGCCCGGTGAGGAGCCGGAGGTCCGGCCAGGCCTCCCAATCAGGTCGCACCGTTTCCTGAACCCTTCCTTTCCGGGGTCAGGTGCTTCCTTTAGAAGGACATGCTTACACGTTGCCGCACACTTTTAAAATTGACGACCGTGCTTAGAAAGACATTTGCCTTCATTTGCGGCAACGTGTTTAAAGGTCGTTTTGTTCTAGGTTTCCCTGGTGGCCCTAGTGCTAAAATGCTGCGCTGCAACCCCAAAGGAGTATGCGGTTCGCATCCATCAGCAGCCCGCAGGGAGAAAGATGGGCAGTTAACGCATCTGCGGTTAACTGCCTCTGAAATCCGCTAGAGGGTCCCCTGTGGGTCGTGCAGACTCATAACTGCACACAATTATTATTGTTTCTACTTACTGGGGTGTATCATGGTCACCGAACCTGAGTTGTTAGGTGGCTTCAAGTTGTGTATGACTCATAGTGACTTTATGACCATAACATAGTGACCCTTTGACCAGAAGGACCCTGCTACCCTTTTCTGACTCCATCTATTGCTGAAGTCACAGTGTCAGTCCATCCATTTCATGGGGGGGGGGGGGGGGAGTGTGTTCCTCCTTCGCAGACCCTCTCCAATGACTAACCTAGCTACATGTCCAAAGTATGGCCATCTTTGTTTCCAAGGAGCTCTCTGGCTGCACCCTCTCCAAGACATAGCCTGAGTTCAGCATGTGACTCCATACACACACAGGTTCTGGGAAACAGGACAGGATTGAGAGTTCGTAAGTCATTACAACTACCAACCACCATTTACTGGTGTGCCAGCCACAGCACAGTCTTACATAAGTCTACAGCTCTTTGTTGTTAAATGCCATTGAGTCTATGCAAAGACACTATTGTACAGGATTTTCCAAGTGGTGATCTTTCAGAAGTAGATGACCAGGCTATCTTCTGAGGTGCCTCTAGGTGAACTCAGCCTCCACCCATGGAGTCAATAACACTGTTGTTGTTAGGTGCCAAAGAGTCAATTTTCAACTCATAGCTACTCCACTGTAGAACAATCCCATAGGGTTTTCTAGACTATAATCTTTACTGCAAGAGATAGCCAGGTCTTCTTTCTCCTACAGAGACACTGGGTGGCTTCAAACTGCCAACATTTCGATTATCAGACAAGCACTTGACCTTTGTGCCCCCAGGACATTAATTATAGTCACTAGCATTTAAAGATGAACTTCATTGATTTGCTGTAGGTTACCCAGCTACCACATGGCAAACCTAGGATTTAAACTCTGAAAAGAAATGAGAGGTCATCATTAGTGTCTGACTGAGAGGGGATGAGTAGGAGAGAGGGTGCCCCATTGATGAGTCTGACTGCCCCGTAGGTGGCCACAGGGCAGCCCCATGAGGGCTCCAGCTACTCTTCAAGGAAGGACTGTCAGATGGCCCTGAAGCGTGTGGACTACGCCCGCCTCAAGCTCAGTGACGTGGCCCACACCTGTGAGCAGATGCTGGAAAACTAAGTGAAGCAAACGCTGGGAGGGAGACCACCACCTGCACTCAGATCAGAACTTAGAAACCTGAAGGGAGAACCCAGGCTGACACTGATATGCCCTGCCAGACAGGGTGCAGCAGGACAAAAGGGCAGAAGGTGGCAAGCCTGGCCACCATGGTGCTACAGCTCTGCTGGGAGAGAGCTCCTGTGCTGCCCTTCAAAGATAGCCACCACCAGGCTCGGACAGCAGATGGAGATTCAAACATCTGACCTCAGAGACTTCTTGTCCCTGCCCCAGGCTTCCCACAGGCTCAGTCCAGTGAAGTCACACTTTTATTCACTAGGGAAAAACCCCAAGAAGTAAAGGTTTTCATAATAAAAGTCTTTAAGAAACAAGAGGAGCAGATGTAAATGTGAGGGGCTATGGGAGCAAAACTAGCCTATATGGTTCCAGCGGCGCAGCACGGTGGGAAGGAAGGGGAAGGGCCGCTGGCTGGTGAGCAACAGCTGCTGTGGTGTGAAGAGAGATTTGGAACAGAAAGGAATCAGCAGTAGAGAAGCCGGGAATCTTGGCAGAAGGACAAGGGTCTGGGGCCACTGTCTACTGAAATAACTGGTGATAATTAAAAAAATAATTTTTAGTAGTTAATATGCATACATAATTTGATATTTCAGTTTAAAGGGAGGATTTTACATTACAGCATTTCAGATTTTACATTACAGCATTTCAGACAGGAATTATAAAAACAGTGTGTTGGACATTGAGGCAGCAGGATCTTACCACTGATTTCACAAGGTGGAAGAATCACCATCAAGAACATCAATGGCATGAAGCTGATTCCAGTGAGGTCAGATGTGCCCTGCAATCCCATTCCTGTCAATTCCAACATCAGCGCCATCCTCCCTATCCTAGCTCTTAGGACTCAACCACTAGGTTCCTAATTCATTACAGTGGGCACAGAACTTGTAAATAAGGCAGTTATGGAGTTTTCTAGGGAAATAATGAGTACGGTTCAGGTTTGAAATAGAATACAGCCTAGGTGTGCCCACAGGCAGGCTTCTCTTTGAGAGTCTCAGCCTTGTGTCGTTAGTCCCTGCCCTGCTCCAGCAAGTGTTAAAATGGTTAGTTAAGCCAGTCATGTCCCAGCCTCCACCAGTAAACATAAATCTGAGGGAGCTTAGCTCTAGCTCTAAGTCAGCTGACCTAGCTCAGTCTACTTCTGGTCGAAAAGATACACTGTACTCTGCTGCTTCTTGACTAGTTTGGTTCCTGTTTTCTCACTCTGAGCCTGCTGGTTTAAGCCCAGCAAGATGGCAGAAGTGACCAGTCCTGACAGTAGCAGTCTACACATTTTATTGGACTTCAGTAAGTGCCATTTACCCTACTTATTTCTGCAAGCTATCTGATCTACTTGGTGGGTCACAAACATCTAAAGTGCATACAAGTTATGTAATAAGAATTACACCCACAGTGGCTAGAAAAGCTGTTGTGTGAATAATTGACCATTCTATTGAATAATTTGCCACAGCACAGGGAGTCTAGAAGAGGGAAGTTGCCCTTTGCCCATTCAACCAACAACTACAAAGTACATATGATGTTATTTACTACACTATAGAGACTATATATAGTCAACTGTTCTTGTGACGATACAGTTCAGACATTGGGATCTGGTGCCACTGGTTCATATTGGAGTTGCAAATCTGAAAAAGATAAAGAAGTTGAGAGATGAGTTCTGAGAGCAAAAGGATTGGAGGTGGGGTCATTCAGTAGCTTGAACTTGGAAAATGGACTCTGAGACCTTAGCTCTATGACTTGGTATACATAACCCCAGTCCCACTGCAGGGCAGTCAATTGTGTGGCAACCTTATGGGACAGGAGGGAGCTCTGGTAGTAAGACGCTGCACTGCCAATCCAAAGGCACACAGTTTGAATCCACCAGCTGCTCCATAGGAGAAAGATGGGCAATCTCCAGTGTGATTTACTGCCTCTGAAAACTCACTGGATGGGACATTTATGACTCAGTAGCATATAGCAACAATATAGGATAGTGGAACTGGCTTGTGGGATTTCCAAGGCTGTAAACCTTTACAGAAGCAGACTGTACCCCTTCTCTAGCGCATCACTGGTGAGCTTGAACCACTGACCTTTCAGTTAGCAGCTAAGTGCTTAATCATTGCACCACTAGGGCTCTTTCTGGTACATACTATAAAGCACACTCATTGAGTTGGAATGGATTCATAGCTGATGATAAATCTCACCACAGGAGATAGCTCCTTTTTCTCCCAAGGATCTGCTGGTGGATTTGAACACCAGAGAGACACTGCCTTTGGGTTAGTGAAAATCCCTAAGGACTACCCCACCAGAGCCCCAGAGGGACAATGGTTACAGGCTCCACTGCTAACCAAAGGGTCAGCAGTCCAACTAAGAATACACAAGAGGTGCTCAATAAAGATTTTTTTTTTTTTAAACTGTAGGGGGGAGGCGGGCAGGGAGAAAAGTGCAACAATGAATGAATGGAAATCCAAAGTCTCTGTAAATTTTCATTAAAATAATAAAAAACAATTTTAAAAACTGACCTTGTGGCCCAATGTTTCTGTATAGCTTCATCTCACATGCACCTATTCTGTCTTTTTCTGATAGATAACAGCTCCAAATACTGGTCTCTGGGCCCACAGGGGCTTTCCTCCTCCACTCTACTTTCTGGCTGATTTGTCCTCCAAGGTCTCTAGTCTGGCCAGGTCTTTGACCATTGGGAGTTACTGGGACAGGGACTCTGATGAGGTTTACCTGAACAGTGCTGCCTTGACTGTGCCGTCCTCTTCCTGCATAGCACATACAGGAGGATGCCAATGAGGATGAAAACAAGGGCCAGGAGGGATGGTACTGCCACTATGGCTGACTTCGGAACTAGAAGGCCAGCATTTTCTTTCAACTGCTTCTGGTTTTCCCCAGCTTCAGGTCCAGCCTTCAGACTGTGGCCCACAGTGGGAGTGCTGGTTTCCTTGGAGTACACAAGACTTTTGTCCAGGGGCCGTGTTGATGCTATTAATGTGGGCTGCTGAGTAAACTGCAGAGTAAGGACAGAGGTGGCCATGTCTGAAGGTTCTGCTGCTGTGGTCTCAGTAATGCGAGTGCTGGGGGGAGGTAAATGCTTCTGGTGGGCCCGGTTCCTCAAGAGAGTATGTCCACATTCTGGAAAATGAAGAAATCAGAGATGCCAGGAACAGGGTAAAGCAGCAAATGAAAGGAAGGGTAGTGAGTCAGAGACAGCATGGATGGGGCAGCTGATGGCCAGCAAATGAGTGGAAGAGGAAGAAAGAACAAAAAGCACAGGAGAGAATCAGGAGCCAAGAAGAGGTGTACCTTCAAAGCTGAGAAGTCAGGAGACCTGGGTTTGAACTCTTACACTGCTATCAAGTACCTGTGTGACTTTGGGCTTATCTCATAACCTCTCTGGAACTAATTTCTTTACAGCTGTAACATGGGGCTACTAAAGATCAAAGCTTATGGGGAGGATTAAAGGAAATTAAAGTCTCTGTACTCCAAAACACTGATGATCAGTGGAAATGGAAGACTGGATGGTATGTGAAAATCTTTTATCTTAATGATTGTCTGCTTCCTCTAAGAGGAAAATAAAACCAGTACATCAAATTTGTGATTTCATGGATGCCAACCCTTAGGGCAAATTGCTATTTATCTTTTCAGAAATGACTTGTGTACATTTTAATATTTTTTTCATTTAATTTTATGTGAATTTTACTTAAAAAGTAAAAAATAAGACATTGAACTCTAGTCCATAATATCGATGTTTTGGGGTGAGGTATAGTGATGCCTGGAACTAATTTTTAAATACGTTTAAAAATTAAGATGTATTGTAAAGTAATATATAGACGGGTACAAAAAAGCAATATATATGTGTTTACTTAACATTTTGTCAAATGTGAAGTAAAGGATTTAGGTGGTGAATACATATAGATGTTCATTGTGTAGTTATTTTCATTTCCATATATGTCTTTGGAAGCAGGAGTGGCATCCACTTCCTAAACAACATGCCTCTGGAAACTGTGAACTTTGAGGAATGACGATAGCTATAGAAAGGCTTCAGGTCTTTTGTTCATAGTGTTGCTGAGTCATACTCAACTCGACAGTCAACAACAACATACGTATCTTTAAATTTTCATAGTAAAATGATGACAAACACATAATAGTTTGGTTTCACGAAAAATCTTAAGTAAATAATAGCACTAATATTGTTAATGATTGCCATCAAGTGGAGCATCTTAAACTGGGAGCTCCACCAAACACTATGGGTAATCGTTATGGCATTTGACACCCAGTGGCACAGAGTTCAGCATCACAGCAATCCCAGGTTACCTCAGTACAGCAGACAGAAGAGACAGAAGAGTGCTGTACTACCTAGAAAAATGTACCACCAAAATACAGTAACAACTGACTTTTAAATACAAAGACCCTCCATGAGGTCTTGTGGACTCTAAATAAGAGGCTTAAATAAAAACCACCAATATAATGTTTTTGTTATTGCCATTGAGTCACCTGCGACCCAAGTGACTCTATCTATGTATAGCAGCTGTGAACCCTTCCCTGTCCTGAGCCAGTCTCACTAATTCTGACACACCTATCCCCATAGCACTAATAGTGGGTGGTAATAAGGGAAGCCTGGTAAACAAGATCCCAAGTGAAAGTAGCTTTGACCAGCCTCAGAAAGGTTGAAGGATGTGAGGTGTCCTAAGAGAAGGAGGCAAATTCAAAGAAAACAATCATGTGGAGTTGGCTAGGCAGGGACAGTGAATGAGGATGAAGGGGAAAGCTCACCTTTGTGATCAAAGCAACTCATCAGCTCCAAAACCCATGACTGGGTACTGCTCCCACACACAGTGCGAGAAGGTAGCTGGAACCTAAGAAGGAACTGATATCAGCAGAGGGCACCTTCCTGCCTGATGCTTCCACATTCCAAAGGCATGAAGTCACCAAGCATATGCCAAACTTGAGGACTGGGAAGTCCCCGAGCAAGAAGGCCATAGGGAAAAGACATGATTGACAGGAAATGGCAAACATAATCCAGAGAAGGAATCAGGTCTGCTCACAAGGCGCTGGGCTTTGGTCAGGAGCCTTTTGGCTCTAGAAGTACCTGTAGGGAGGGACTGCAGGTGTTGCCACCCAGGGAGGGTGAGATTACCTGACGAAGAGCGCACAGTGCTGGTAGCCTTTCAAGTGTTTTCGAAGATGCTCCTTTTGTTCTGTCCGGAGGTTAGAAATCGGATTATCACAGTGACAGTTTCCAGTGGCGCTGCTCTCACTGGCATCCCCTGAGTGGGATGCGGATGGTCAGCAAAGGTCACTAGGCAAAGGAACACTCAGCTACTACTTAGCCTCCAGCCCACCTTCCCCACAGCCTCTTCCTGGAACTCTCAGGTCCAACCCTACACATCCCAGTGACTTCATGATTCTACCTAAACTCAGGTGCCTCTGTCCCCGACCCTTGGCACCTCGGGTCCCCTAGCATACCTGACCTCCCGCTTAGTCAACTCTTCACTCTAGTGTCTTCCTACACTCTCCCAGTCCCCCCAACCCCGTCCTTCCCTCCACAACCCCTGCCCTGTATTTAGCCCCCAGCTTCGGACCAACCTGGCACAGGCAGCGTCGCCAGCAGGAGGAAGAGCAGCACACGACCCTCCGGTTTGCAGTCGGCAGGCATGCCGGTGCGCAGTAGAGTTAGGGGAGCGCACTGTCTGAGCGCCTGAGAGGTTCCGCGCGAGAAGTCTTCAGCTGGTTTCCCAGTGGCTTTCGCTTCCTTTCCCGGCTGGCGTGGGCGCCGAGGTCCCTGGGCAGCTCGCCCCCGGCGCCCCACCGTCTGAACTGACGTTCCCGAGCCACGCGCGGCGGGGAAGCCCCCCCCCCCCCAGGACGCAGCACCGGCCACTCTGCGCCCCCGCACTGACGGGAGCCAAGGCCCAGGTGCAGCACAGGAATGTCTGAAGAAAGCGAAAGGAAGGAAACCCAGGACGAGGTGGGGCAGGCTGGCAGCGCCCGCGGGCAGGTTCGGTCCTGGGGATCCCCTGTGCCGTCCGCCCCTGCAGGTCTCCAGAACTGGAACACAGAGTGGCTAGACAGCCCGCTCCAGCGCGCTTTCGCTTCCCAGATTGGCCGGGGGCAGGAGCTGGGGCAGAACGCACGCTCTGCCGCCCGCCCCAGCGCGCAGTTTACCCACCGGTCAGGGCAGCTCCGCGGGCGCAGGGGCGTGGCCGTGGGGGGCGGGCGGGGCGCGGGCGACCCTGACGTCACGCCTGCCCCTCGCACCCCTGCCCCGCGGTATTTACTTTCGAAAAGTGGCGGTGGCTGCAGGTACCGGAGCAGTGGGGCGGCTGGGCTACTCCAGGCCGAGAGGAAGGGGTGCTCGCCCCATTCCTTCTTCCCGCCCCTCCGGAGGGTCCACATTCGTCCCTCCAGGGCAGACCCCTCCCTGTAGGATTAACCACCGTCATCTCCATCCTCAGTTTAAGCCCTACCTTCATGGATGTGAGTCCTCAAACTTTGAGTCCTACAATTATGAATCCAGGATGCCCATCCTTGACCTTGATCTCTCTCACTTTTTAAGCCTAATTCCTGTTCTGGCCTCTGAATTGCCACCCCCAACCCTGGAGACTCCACTCCCTATCCGCAGATTTTTCTCCTCCAGCGGCCCTTTAACTCAACCCTGCCCCCTTCGTAACTGGGCCCCACACTTTCTCATGTGCGTCCCTTCCCTCTTCTGCTCAGTCCGGATCTAGGCGCTGTGCCCCCAAGACATGGAGTTTGTGTCTGGATACCGGGAAGAGTTCCTTGATTTCGCTGCCCTCCTCTTCAGCTGGTTCCGCAAGTTTGTGGCCAAGCGAGGGGCTGTAGGGCCCAACCCAGAGGGTCGCTGGCGCCAGCTGGAGGCTCAGATCAGGAGGCTGCCCCAGGACCCCGTCCTTTGGGTGCTCCACGTCTTGCCCAACAGTAGTGTGGGCATCAGCCTGGGGCAAGGGGCAGAGTCAGGCGCTGGGTCAGGCCTAGGAGCTGCCCGTCTCCTTGGGGAAGAGCTCCCACTTCATTTGAGAGATCTGACCCCCTATGTCAGCTTTGTCAGCCTAGAGGATGGAGAGGAAGGGGAGGAGGAAGAGGAAGATGAGGAGAAAGCAGAAGTTGAGGGTGCAGGTCTAGGGAAGGTGGAAACAGAGGGGAATCAAGGGTCAGCCACTACCAGCAGGGAGACTTCCAAAGGGGAACCAGGGGAGACTGGGCAGGAGACAGGAGCTGGTGAGAATGGCCTCCAAGAGAGCAGGAAAGAAGATGAAGCAGGATCTGATAGGAGGAAGGGACGAAGAGATGGTAAGATCCCAGGCCTTGCCCAACCTCCTGCCCAGCAGCAGGCTTCCCCTTTCAGAGCCCTTTCCCATTCCCCAGGACCCACCAGGAATCACAAATGGATGGCCCTTCAGGATGTGTTTTTATTAGCCCACAATATATATATTTTTTTTGAGGCAACAACATATTGAATGGAAAAAATATTCCAAAATGTAAATTTATGTTTTCTCAAGAAAATGTAAAATTCTGACAGGAGCCTACATTTCTACACAGAAACAAATGCTGGTGCTGTGTGACAGCTGCACCTCTCTGTGGGGCATCCCTCTCCATCTCATCTCCTTTACTGACATAGATTACTTGTCTAGCTCCTACTGTTGTTACGTGCCATTGAGTCAGAACCAACTCATAGCTAACCCTCCAGGGAGTTTTCAGAGGCTGTAACTCACAGGAAGGTGCGCTGGTGGCTTGGCAAAGGCAAAGGCATGCAGCTCATGAATCCACCAGCTGCGCCAGAGAAAGATGGATAGTGTCCTCTCAAGTGATTTACTGCCTCTGAAAATCTGCTAAGAGGGTCAGCTATGAGTCCATTCTGACTTGATGGTACATAACAACAACAAATCACATGAGAGATTGTTTGTCTTTCTCCCAAGGAGCAGTAGGTGGATTTGAACTACCTGTCTTTGGGTTGGCAGGGCGACTCCTTACCCACTGGGTCACCAGAACTCCCTTATCTATCTACTGTAGGAATTTAAATTTGAGACTCTGGACTTAACCATTTTTGCCCCCTGACTTTCTCCTCTTTCCCCAGAGGCTGCTCCTCTGCACCTTTCCTGCATCTTATTGGTGACAGATGAACAGGGTACCATCTTGGGCATTGACCTCCTAATGAATGGGGGCACTAGCCGGGGCTCAGGAACAGAGAACCTTGCTCCTCGGGCCTATGCTCTCCTCTGCCACAGCATGGCTTGTCCCATGGGAGCTGGGGATCCCCGAAAGCCTCGGCAGCTCACTGTGGGAGACAGCCAGCTGCACGGGTACAGAAATTTGGCTTCTGCATGGGGGAGACTGGGAGAGCCTACACTCCTGAGCCCTCAGGCTAATACATCTCCATGCCCATCCAGAGAGCTGGAGAGCCTGCTCCCAAGACTGGGAGTGAAGTTAGCTAAAAGTCCAATGCGGACATGGGGTCCCCGGCCAGGCTTTACTCTTGCCTCCCTTCGGGCTCGAACCTGCCATGTTTGCCATAAACACAGCTTTGAAGTGAAACTGACACCATGGTGAGCAGTCAGCAGAGACAGAGTGGGAAGGAAGTGGGCCTTAGAGATGAGGCAACAGAAGGGAAGCAAGCTGGTGGATGACCAAGCAGACAGGTTGAGGGGTGGGGCATAAGGAAACATGAATAGAAACAATAAGCAAGCTGTTATAGATGGACTATCAGACATAGGGGACATTTCAGGATAGAAGGACACAAAGGGCCTACAGCATTGGGCCCACCCCACCGTGTCTCCCAGCCCCCAGTGCAGTGCTGTCTTGTACTGTGGAGAGGCTTGTCTCTTGGCTGACTGGCAGCGGTGCCCAGATGATGTGAGCCACCAATTCTGGTGCCCACGGCTTGCCACCTTCATGGAGCGGGCAGGAGAGCTGGCAGCTCTGCCTTTTACCTATACTGAAGGTACTCACTGGAGGTCAGGAGAGGTAACGGAGGGTGGGACTACATCTTTGGAACAAGGACCTGGGTATGTATCTATGAAGAGGAGTAATGTCTCAGTGTTAAGGACACTGTGCTGGAAGTTGGGGGCCTAGATCCCTGGAGTAAAGACCTGGCACTCTGAGACTTGGACCCTAAATTCCTGGGACTGAAGACAGGGGAGCTGAGGATTAAGTGCCTGGGTTCCTGAGAGAGTTTAGGGCATTCAGGATTAGGATTCAAACACTTGTTCCTCTTCTAAGTGGCATTGGGACCTTACACAAATCACTTTCCTCCTCTGAGCCTCAGTTGCCTCATCTGTAAAACAGGTACAAACAAATGTCAAATCCAGTGAGGCGGTAGTAAGGATTATGTGGTCCAGTGCCTGGTACACGGTAGCTACTCAGAAATGTGACTTCCTTCCCTAATTGGAACTAAAATGACCAGCACTCTTGGGAGAGGCTGAGGAGAAGCTCAAGTTTGCACTCTTCACCACCAGGCCCTCAGACCCTCCCTCTTTCTTCTCCAGAGGTGACCAGTGAAATTTTCAACAAGGAGGCTTTCTTGGCCTCTTGTGGCCTCACTCGTGGCTACTGGACCCAGATCAGCATGCTGATTCCAGGGCTTGTCGGGCCCAGGCACCCCAGGGACAACACGCTGCCCCCCAGCTTTCTTCTCAATGGTGTGTGTGTGTTTTCTCTTTAAACCAGAGCTCCTCAACCTAGATAAAAGTTGTCCAGTTCCAGGATAACCCCTCCCCTTACCTCATCCACCTGCCAACTCCCACCTTCCAGGGCCATCACAGCTCTTTGCCCACCTCTCAAAGGAGTCACTTCTGCCCCATGCTCTCTCCAGGAAAATCCCTATCCCTCTTCCTTCAGTTCTAGACACTTAAGTCTCACTGACACCAACCCCCTTGTCTTCTTTTCACTCTCTCAGGAGATCCCTACCAGTTTCTCCAGGGGGATGGGCCCACCTTGATGCCTCCTGTACCCCTAGATCCACCCAGGAGTGTCTTTGGTGAGCTGCAAGGGTCCTGAGGGAGCTAGGAGGAAGGATAGAGGTTGATAGACCAGAAAGTCTAGGTCCCTAAGATAAATGGGACTGTAAATCTGGGCCAGGGGCCAGGTCCCCCTGTAATGCACTTTCCCCAGGTTCATGGCAGGATTACTACACGTGGCGGGGCCTCAGCTTGGACTCCCCAGTGGCCGTGCTTCTCACCTACCCACTGACTGTGTACTACGTCATCACCCACCTGGTGCCCCAGTCCTGTAAGGAGGCAGGCAGGGGGCAGCGGGCACAAGGAGCAGGCAGGGGGCTGGAGACAGAGGGAAGGAGACGATATATTTTTTTTAAAGTTCGCTTCTCACTCAGTCCCTGAGCTGAACATCCAGAACAAGCAGTCTTTGAAGATCCATGTGGTGGAGGCTGGGAAGGAGTTTGATCTTGTCATGGTCTTTTGGGTATGTCCTCCCAGGATAGGCTGGGCATGTGGGTGTCAGGATGGACATGAGGTTGAACCCTGGTCTATCTCTCTCTCTCTCTGCCCTTTAGGAACTTTTGGTCCTGCTTCCCCATGTGGCCCTGGAACTACAGTTTGTGGGTGATGACCTGCCCCCTGAGAGTGACCAGGAGCATTTTACCCTGCAGAGGGTGAGGGCTGAGGAAGGCCCTGCTTCTCACTCCTGATCTCCCTTGTCCTCATAACCAAGACCCTCCTTTCCTCTCCCATCTTGCCTGGTGCACCCTCCAGGCCCCTGAGCAAGCGTGGCTTCCCCACCTCTCTGTCGGCCTCCAGGATGGTCCTGACGTATCTCTCAGGTCTGGTTCTGCAGTGGCCCGGCTCAGCTCTGGGATGAAGGAGAAAGGGGGCCGCAGAGACCTGCAGATCAAGGTGTCTGCTCGGCCCTACCACCTGCTTCAGGGTCCCAAGCCTGACTTGGTTATCGGTGAGTGAGAGACCGAGGCCCAGGAGCAGGGGTGGGGACAGGTAGGACAGAGTCAACCACTGGAGCAAGCTCCTCCTGCTTTCCTCCTCCAGGATTTAACTCTGGCTTTTGTCTCAAGGACACTTGGCTGAGCTCTCTGCCCCGATTGCAGGTGGGTGCGTAGGGGACCTTCTGTCACCGCCTGCCCAGCCTCTCCTTTCCCCAAGTCCCCAGGATAATCTTCTGCCTATCATTTGCTCCACAAACCTGGGGAGCAGTGCCCCCGTCCTGTTTGTCCCTCTATGTCTGCCTTGTCACCCCTCTACTCCCAACTGGGTCCTGGGGCCCCAGTTCCCAACTCTGTCAGCCACAGAGTTGCCGAGAAGGTACCTGGGGACAGGAAGCTCAGAGACCGTGACTAAGGTTTCGCCTCACCACCTAGTCCCTTCGCGTGCCGGCCTTCTTCACCGAGAGCAGCGAGTACAGCTGCGTGATGGACAGCCAGGCCATGGCAGTGGCCACGGGAGGGGACACCAGCCCTCCCCAGCTCAATCCCTTCCGCTCCCCTTTTCGCCTCAGAGCGGCAGACAACTGCATGCCCTGGTGAGCGCCCGCCACCCTCCTTTGCCCCCCCCCCCTTCGCTTCTCTTCCTCCGCATCAGAAAAGGCGCCCTTTCATCCTCTACTCCTGGGACCCTCCATGGGCCATCTCTGCCACCCCAGCTTTTCTGCCCCCATTGCTTGCTACTCCCCAACAATCTTCTTTAGATCCAGCCACCCCTTGCCCCCTCCCCCAAAGGACCCTGAGGCGAAGCCCAACCAGGAACGTGGGGTGGGGTCCTGGGGAGAGGGAGGAAGTTGAAGGGGAAGCCACGCCCCTTTGTGATCATGTCCCTCCCCTGCCCCGCCCACCTGCCTTCCCCAGGTACTGCAACGCCTTTATCTTCCACCTAATCTACAAACCTATCCAAGGGAGTGGGGTCCGCCAGGCCCCGGGCCCTGCGCCCCCTGTCCCAACCCCGGTGGTCCCCGCCACCCCCGTCCGGAGACGCCGAGCAGAGAAGAAGCCTGGGCGGGGGCCCCGTGGGCGGAGATGAGACGTCTGATTGCAGGCTGCCCCCTTCTCAAGCACAAGCTAGCGCTGAGTGGTGGGGGGACACACAAGGCCTTGGTTGGTGGATGCGAAAACATGAATAAAATTACTTGTTTGAAATCACGTTGACTTTTTTTTTTTTAATCTTTGTTGTAAGTCTCCCTGAAGTTGGTTCTGACTCACGGAGAACCCAAGACTGCAGAGTGGAGTTTTCCAGGCTGGGGGAGAGTGGGGTGGTGGGTCTTTGGGAGTCAGTCTTCAGAGGCCCTCTAACTGACAGCCTTTCTGCTCCAGTGCTAAATACCCTAGTGCTTAACTGTGTGCAGCACCCAGGAATCTCCTTTGATCAGAAGCTTAAAGGTGGAAGTTAGGAGAAGGAAGAGACAGCTTTAGGGCTGATTAATTTTTGCATCTGGGTCTCTGGTTCGTGCAAACAGTTGAATCCTCCCAGAAGGCCTTCAAGTCTCACAGCGACCCTGTGATCGTAGATGTGAACCGTGCCCTGTCCTTCATCATCCTCATCAGCTCTGATAGGCTTGTGGCCATTTTTACGCTCATTGTGTCAGTTCCTCTTGTTCAAGGTCCTCCCCAGAGGGACAGCCTGACAATCTACTTAAAAATGTCCCCTGAAACCCTATAGGGCACAGTTCTGTCACATATGGGGTCTCTGTGAGTTGGAATCCACTAGACAGCAACTGATTTTACTTTCCCTCCAGCTGCCCGCATGCTGTCTCTCTTCCCTGTCTTCCTTGAGGCTCTGACCTTTTGTGCTGACCCCAAACCATTTTCCAGCCCCAATGTCTGCTTAAGAATCCACCCCAAGGGTAGAAGCAAAAAGTGGCTTCATGTCCGTGAATGGCTCCAGAAACCAGCTGTGCAAGTTAGGAACTTGGCAGCCATCCTTCACCCCACTGGCCTCCAGTCTTCCTATCTAATAACGAACAACAAGCAACTCCTGATGAGTCAGGGCGCTAAAATTATTTCAATCTATGCTTTGTTTCCTGTCCCACCACAAGCTGTACCATATCTTGTCTCCACATCGCAACATTCCTTCTAAAAGAGACAAATTTGAGCACATGACTCCTTAATGAGGGGAGCACTGGTGTCTAAGTGGGTAAAGAGTTGTGCTGCCAACCCAAAGGTTGGGGGTTCAGATCCACTAGCTGCTTTGAGGAAGAAAGATGAGCAGTCTCTTCTTGTGTGATTTACAACCTCTGAAAACCCACTGGAGTGTTAGCTATGAGTCAGTTCCAACTTGATAGCACATGATAGCAGTGCTCCTTAATACCTGTAAGCATGTTAGCTTAAATTCCTTCAGTGACTTCCCTTAGCTCTTAACATCCTCTTACATCTGGGCTGGATTTAATGAAGAAAATATAAAAGCAAAAACCATACTGTCAGTTCTGATTCCTGGCAACCTTGTAGGACAAGGAGAACTGTAGACAGGATTTCACAGGCTGTCAGTTCTGATTCCTGGCGACCTTGTAGGACAAGGAGAACTGTAGACAGGATTTCACAGGCTGTAACTCTTTACAGAAGCAGATGGCCTCATTTTCCTGCTGGGCTCATGCTAGGTTCTTACTGGCAAACTTCTGCTACATAAGCGGAATTCCTTAACCACTGTTCCATAAGGGCTCCTTGCATAAATTTTAGAGAGGGGAGAAGAGTAGAGAAACCTGGCAAACACCACTTCAACCTAGTGATAAAGGTTAATTGTTGTTGTTGTTATGTGCCGTCGAGTCGTTTCTGACTCATGGCAACCCTATGCACAACAGCCCTAAACCCTGCTCTATCCTGCGCCAACCGCACTGCCTCTGACACACCCATCCCGATTACCCCAGTCACCGAATCAATCCATCTCATAGAGGGTCTTCCCCTCCTGCGCTGTCCCTCCACCCTCCCAAGCATGATGTCCCTCTCCAAGGACCCGTCCCTCCTGGCAACATGTCCAAAGTATGTCAGATGAAGGCCCAGAATCCTCGCCTCCAAGGAGTAGCTTGGTTTAATCCTCTCCAAGATGAATCTGTTTTCCTGGCAGTCCATGGTACATTCAGTACTCTTCTCCAGCACCACGGCTCAAAAGCATCAACTCTCCTTCTGTCCTCCCTAGTCACTGTCCAACTCTCTGATGCATAACAAGCCATTGCAAAGACCATGGCCTGTATCAGGCACACCTTAGTCTCCAGAGAGACACCGTTGCTCCTGAGTACTTTAGAGAGGTCCCTAAAGCAGACTTTCCCATTGCGATATGCTTTTTGATTTCCTGACTGCTGGTGCCAAGAGTGTTGAGTGTGGAGCCGAGCAAACTGAAGCTGTGAACAATCTCAATCTCTTCGCCATCCATCCTGATGCTGCCAATTGGTCCAGTGGTGAGAATCTTTGTCTTCTTGACATTGAGCCTCAGTCCATACTGAAGTTATTAGTCAAGTGTTAATAGTCAAATAGTCCTGAGGTGATGTGACAAGAAGACCATATCTCCTCTGTGGTTTCCTACCCCAAGATCTATAACCTCAGTCTGGTTACAAGCAAGCCTCGAGTCAAATTCATGGTAGGGGACTGCCCACAAAGTGCCTAGTGACTATTCTTCAATATCTTCAGAGCCATGGAAGACCAGGAAAGATCCAGAAACTCACAAATCAGAAAAGACTATGGAGACACGATGGTGAAATACGACGTATTGAGTCAGACTGTATCCTGCAGGAGAAAAACTAGAGAAATCCGAGCAAGTGGGTTCAAACTGTTCAAGATGTGCAACTACTTGGCTAGAAGTATGCCATGCCCTGCATGACCAGAACTCCTTAGTCTCATTGCAGCAATGCTGAGTTCTTCATTTTGATAAACATACCATGGTTATATAAAATGCAGCATTCTGGAGGGTATTGTCATTGTTAAGTGCTGTCGAGTTGAGTACAACTCATAGTGACCCTATGAACAACAGATCTGAACCCTGTCCTGTCCACCTGACACATTTGAGCCCATTGCCACAGACACAACATCAATCCATCTCGTGGAAGGTCTTCTCCTTTGTTGATCTTCCACCTTTCCAAGCATGATGTCTGTCTTCAAGGAAGAGCCTCTTCTAGCAACATATCCAAAGTATAAGAGACAAAGCTTTGCCATCCTTGCGTCCAAAGAGCACTCTGGTTTTGTTCTATCCAAGACCTATCTGTTCTTTAGATATCTATGGGATATTCAGTACACTTCTCCAATACAAAGTCTTCTCCTGTCAGCCTTATTCATTGTCCACCTCTCTGATATGTAACAGGTGATTGGAAAGACTGTGGCTTGAATTAGACACACATTAGTCTTTAAAATGACATCACTATCACTACTCTTCAGGACTTTGGGGAAATCCTGATAGCAGACTTTCCCAATGCTATGTGTCTCCAGATGATGTACGGACTGTTGGCACCAAGGGTGTTGAAGTAAGTAAGATGAGGTCATTGAAACTTGAGTGAAGAGCATATAGGAGCACGCAGCAATTCTTGCAACTCATTTGTAAATCTAAAGCTATTTCAAAAGATTATTGAAGAGATCAAGTTAAAACTTTTTAATGTGGTGTCTGTTATTTTTTTTTCTTGTAAATATTTTACTATCTTGAATCTACACAAAAGTCCCTGGTCCCAACATAATGAATCTCCATGCACATATCACCCAACTTCAACAATGTTAACGTGTGCCCTCTTTATTACTTTCTCCCTTGCCTTCCTAAAATATTTAAAAACACACCCACATAGGTGTGTATCACTAATTAAGACTTTTAAAATGGAATCCCCATGCCATTTTTCATATCCAATAAGAGGAACAATTTATTAACACCCATAGAGCTCTACTGACATTGTGGTTAAAGTTTTTAACCACAAGGTCAGTAGTTTGATCACATGACAACCTATAAAGATTTACAGCTTTGGAAACCCTATGGGGCAGTTTCTACTCTGTCCTGTTGGGCCCTGTGAATGAGGATTCTTCCAAGGGCAGTGGTTTGGTTTGCTTATGGTTTATAACACCTAGTGCGTATTCAAATTTCTTCATTAAACTCAGAGAAATAGTTCACATTTTGTTTGTTTCAATCATTGTTTTGTACCATCGAGTCACTTGCAAATCATAGCGACCCTATGTAAAAAGCTCTGAACCGTGCTCTATCCTAATCCAACATCATTGTCTCTGACATATCCACTCACATTACCCAAGTCGATCCAAGGTCTTCCTCTCTTGCACTGTCCCTCCACCTTCCCAAGCATGATGTCCCTCTCCAAGGACTGGTCATTCCTTGCAACATGTCCAAAGTATGTCAGACGAGGCACTTCACCGAAGACGACATTCAGATGGCTAACAAACACATGAAGAAATGCTCAAAATCCCTAGCCCTAAGAGAGATGCAAATTAAAACAACTA